ACAGAAATTGTCTGGACCGACAACTTATCATGTATGTCATGTAGCTTCGATTCTCCGTATTGGTTTCATTTTTCCCAACAGTTCATGATAAAATAAATTGTTTTTCTGTTTGATTGTTGTCACTGATGATGTTGGTTATTTCAGATGAAACGCTATTAAAAATTCGTATTAAAAAAAGTTGATGGTGGCCCTGTTGACACGAAACGTTTAATCGAATATTCATCATTAGGTCGTCATAGTACACTTCGTATATAATAAAATTTTCCTTTTCCATTTTTTGATATTCTCCGAAATAACAATTCCATTCGAAAAAAACGAAAAACAGCATTTTTGTTTTTCCCCGTATAACTCACTTTCTTCGACCATTGTATTGTTTTCGATGACAGTTACTTTTTTCCCATTTAATCGTCTTCGTATCTGTTACTGTTTAGAATATAGCAATGTTACCACATGATAAAAGAAACGGCCTTTTAACTTCAGACTTTCTGGTTGAAAGTGTAAAATTTTCGAATTATATGTGGAATTGTGAATGTTTTCTATGAGATGATTGGCATAGTTGATCAAAACTGTGGTCACACTGGCCTATATACATATAAGGCATTGCAGTCTTCGTAATTGAGCTTGTAAACCCCAGATATTTTGAATTTGTCCCGTACTGACTTAGCATTTATTTATGAATTGTTATTCGTCCTGAATGCTACATTTATGATTTGTTTCTGAAGGAAACTAGATATTTTTTTTTGTAGAATACGCAGAACGATGGTCATTATTTTTTTTGATTCGATGATTAGTTAAATTTAAAGTTCAATGGTTTTCTTTTTGTTTTAGTATTTTGTCTACGATAGAGGTTTTATATCCAACTATTACAAAAAATAACAATAAAGATGATTCTGCAATTTTCCACAAACCATCTTATACGGGCATTATCATACATAATTCCTCCACGCACCTTCACCAGCATAAAGTAGCATCAATAGAATGCTTCACAGTCTATTGAATATTCCACTGTCTGAGAGTAATTTCCGGAGAAAGCCGAGTTCAATCAAACAAATTGCTGACAACTGATAAATGGTAGATATTAACGACTCCATTTATTCAAAAAAAATACGAAAGCAAGCCATGGATCTGGTCTTCCCAAATTCATGATGCGATAACGTCATCTATAGGACATTATCATATTTGGGTGAATCCATCAATAATATCGCCCGTTTTTTGAAAAAAAAAATGCGTAGATATAGCTTACAGCACGAATAAATGTGTGAATAAATTCTTCAAAAACAATAAAGACAAAACTTTAGTGTCGGATAGATCAGAACTATATGAGCTGACTTGTGGCTTTTGCCCAAAACTATATATTGGCCAAAGAGGGAGAATAGTTTCCCAAAGGAATAAGGAGCTCAAAAGTAGTTTTGTAAATAGAAAGACCAATTCTACATTTGCAAACCACCTTTTGGCAGAAGGACATGAGTTCAATCATGGATTCGACATGTTATACATTCAGAAGAGAAAAGTATGAAATTCATTTTTCTAGAAGATGTAGAAATCAATAGATTCGAGAATTCGGGTAATTTACTGAATGGCAAAATAAAATTGAATAACTTCCCGTTACTAAATATTTTTCCAAATGTGAAAACTGGTACATAAGCTCAGGTAATTTAACTCATTACAAACTCAGGTACACATGAAACATTTAATGGCCAGGTAATACACATATACTTGAAATATAGGTACTTCAAATTGTAAAATTGATTATATTAAGCATTGAATATATAGAATTTTGTTAGTAAAGACACACCCGAAAAATCCATTCTGTGACGGAACATTTGTTGCGTTTTTGTAAAACTATTTAGTGAAAATCTCATAATAAAGTGTTTTGTGAATACGTCGGTTTCATATCCAGTATTGACAGCGATCTGTTTGATTCTGTTCAATTCTTTTTAGAAATTTGACGGGTTTTGCGGGATATTTATAAGTGTCTGTATCATGGAGTAGTATGCTGCAAGTTTATAAGAGTATGTGTGCATACACTGAATTGTTTTATCTGTATGTGTGAATTTGTGATATCTTGTTTGAGCGGCATATATTCAAATCTAGGAAGTTCAGTGAATTGTGATCGTATTTCATTTCCATTTTTATTTCTATATAAGAGTTGAGGCTGTTCAGATAAATGAGAAAACAATTTAACTGACCCAGCAATACGATACATCAGGTAAATAGTTTTCTCATTTATCCGAACAGCCTTAAGTCTAATAAAGAATTCATAATGGACATGGAAGACAATCACAATTCACTGAGCACAATTTTTCAATATATCACAAACAGGCAGTATACGTAAATGTAAACTTATCAGATGAAAGGTCTATGAATCATGAAATACCTCAGGGATCCACCTTGGGTCCATTCCTTTTTGTAATCTATATAAATAATATATTCTATTTCCTTTTACCCAGTACAGTAATCTGCAAAAATTTGCATTCATTCATGAATAATTCTATGTCAACATGGGACAAATTCAAAAAATTTGGAGACTACAAACTCAATTACGAAGACTGCAATGCCTTATATATAGGGCAGACTGGCCACAGCTTCAATCAGAAATTTGAGGAGCATTCAAGGAGTTACAGATTAAGTAAACAAGATTCCAAGTACGCCAATTATCTCATAGAAAACACTCACAATTTCATACAAAATCTGAAACTTCTACATAGTCGAATGTCTGAAATTAAATATATTGAAATCTATAGAAATCAAAAAACATCTTGCTGATAATAACAACATTGTTCAGAATGATCAGATATATATTTATAATTCTCCAACTATCATTAAAATTATTAGTAATTTCCCAAATGTCCTTCATACCTGTCTCTACCAACCAATCCAACTCTTAGTATTAAAGAAATGACACCATATACCTAGGTCAGCTTATAACTCGCTGAAGTGTTTTCTATTTTACAGAATAACTATACAACAACGAAATATTCTTGTTATTTTCAGTCAATTTGGAACTTTTTTGACTGGGCGTTGAAACAATGAAAAACTGTCGACATATTCTGATCAGTATATTCCCAGTACTATGAAAAACAATACCTATCGAAAACAATTAAATCGTGAATATGACTGTTTTTAGTTATGATAGTATATTATTATTATTAGTTTTATAAAAGGTTTTCATCTTCATAATATTTTTTCGTTGTGGATTTGAAAATACCATATAAGTTTTTATAACTTTAACAAGTAACTTTTATTGCTGATTCTTTCTATTGATTCTGTAACAAATCATTTCATGTATTTCTCATTAGTAGCTTCAAATTCATTCACTCATTCGCATATACTCATATTGAATTTCATTATAATTTGAGGGATTTCTGTGGATTCCTGTCCAGTTCCGTATATCTTTCGATGACTCACTCCAAGTGGAGAAACGTGTTTCCGAATCTTATGAATTTTTTAAATCGAATTTAAACATTTCCAAGGTTAATGAGCGTTGGTGGTATTTATACATTTTGTCTTGGCATTCTCATAGCTAGGGCTTCACCCGTGTTTCCAAAATGATGTTTCATCTTCTCGATACCGAATACTTGAGATAACCAATGTCCGATGAAATGTTGACTCAGCAGCTGTGGTGAATTCATTCCCAAGGTTATTCACCTCTTCTGAAATTTTGATTGATGCACTGCTTTGTTACATTACCAACTTGTTCTTGCATCGTCATGGCTTACCTGGTAGTAACTTTTGCAATATGTGAATCTTATTTTTTCTTTTAATTTCTCTGCCATTTACCTTCAGCCCAATTGAAGTAAATATTCGATAGGTTGAAGGCATTAGCCATGATTCAATTTATTGGATAAAGGGACTGCGCTCACAGCAGATACTGCTGTAATCGTAGACGAAATGTTCGGCATATAAACGTACAGACCACGGCCAACAAACTCAAAAAATAGCTTTGATGAAGGGTAAGTGAAACTCTTGAAACATTTTATTATTACTTTATATTGACCTCATTATAAAACGTTGGTTGAGTAACGAAAGGGCGAAATATTCGAAAGAGTTTCTATAAAATATTCGAAGTGATTATGTTGTTTAAATATTCTTATGGGATCATTGCTTTTTCGAGAAACCAATATCAACAATACCAAAGAATGAAATAGAAGTAGCACTTACAAATTTGGATGAAATCTTCTATCCAAAACCTACTTGAACTGTTGGTGATACATAAGCATTGAACCTGATAACTTCATATTATTAAAAAAATTAGGATATGTCTTCTGAAGTTTCAAAATATTCAATATTTACAAATCATGACCTAATATTATTAAAACACTGAACATTTCGACAAGTATTTAATATCATTATTGAACGACTTATTAGAAAAAAACAAGAATCCAATATATTGCTTTACTGATGACAGCACACTTATCTCGTCATTACATTTGGATCCCAGGACATTGGCTGCGGAAGCACATCTTCACCGGCAGCAGGAGGTTGAATATCTTAGTGAGGATCTAGAAGATATTTTGAATTGGGGTGAAATCAACAAAGTTCAATTCAATGCCACAAAAACCCAGGCATCGGTTTTCTCCATGAAGATAAATAACTCCGAACTGGATATAATAATGTCGGGTCAAACAATTTCGCTTTCTGCTTCAATAAGTTCGTTGGGAGTTAAAATGGACACCAATATGTCTTGGCACAGACAGTGTTCCAATCAAAAGCTTGGAACACTGTTCCGGACCAGAAAACTCTACACACCTCAGCAACCTTTGATGCTTTATTGAGCTCAGATCAGATTTTCTTTGGAGTATTGTTCGCATGTATGGAGCTCCTCCCCCAATCATATCCTGAAGCTGCTGGATTCCATCCAGAAAAGATCCATCTGCCTCATTGGAGACGCGAACATTACTTGCCAACTTGATAGTCTGGTACATCGAAGAAAGGTTGGAGATTTGTCTTTCTTCTATATACACTTTCATGGGAGATGTTCAAGTGACTTGGCACATTTGATTCCACCAAGAGCGACATACTGTGGTCGCTCATCTTTATGAGGTTCAACTCAGTACAACTCGAACTTTACTGTTTGAAAACTCTTCCATTTGGAGAACGGCGTTTATATGGAATGAACATCATGAGAACGTTTTTCCAAATGGATATAATCTCCGGCGATTCCAATTCCAATGTAAATTGCTACTTTCGCACAGGCACCGCTATAAGAGCGCTATTAGGAGTTTTCTGTATTGTGTTTTGTCCTTTAAAAAACGTGGTTCTGTTATTCAGATCAAAAATACATGTCTGTTTGTCCGTATTTCAAAACTCGAAGTTGGCCCAAAGAATACAACTACTTGTTCAGTATATTTTCACTACGTATTAAAAGTTGCAATGACAAAGTGCAAAAAGTTTCTGGAAACCTAGTCAGTTAAACTAAATGAAAGGAAAATATCCAAAACTGGCTGAAAAGTCCGTAGGCTAACATAGAAAAGAAAATCATAAAGTTTGACTTTATTATTCAATATAGTTGCCTTTGAGGGCGATACAACGATTATAGGGCAATATTCCTCCCCAGCGAGCATTCTCGTGAGGTCTGGGAACAGGAAAGAGTCGCAGGGGCAGATCTGGGGAATACGGTGGACGCAGAAGCAATTTGAAGCCCAGTTCATGCAATTTTGTCATCGTTTTCATTGATTTGTGACACGGTTCATTGTTTTGCTCGAACAGTACGTCCTTTTTCTTCAAATGGGGCGGTTTTCCCGCGATTTCGTTCTAATAACGCCACGTAATAGTCGCTGTTGATGTTTTTTCCATCCCAAGATTGTCGACTGATTTCATACCATACGCATCCCGTAAGCATGATACCCTGACCTTGCCAGCCGACTCGACTGTTGCATCTTTGCACGCTTTGCGGAGTCGATTAACCATGTGCAGCCCACTCAGATAACAATCGATTTGATTCTGCTATGGAATGATGGACCCATGTTTCATCAATTGTCACATATGGATATATAAATTTGGGTTTTTCTCAGTGGAACACCTTCAAACACTGGTCAAAATAAATAATTCGTTGTTGTTTTTAGTCGATTGCGAGCTCGCGCTGCACCCTTTTTGAACAGAGCTTTCGTAAACTCAAATATTCATGTACGATATGTCCAACACTTTCCTTTGATAACTTTACAGCCACAGCTATCTTGATCAACTTCACTTTGCAGTCATCCAAAATTATTTTGTGAACTTTTTAGATGTTTTCCTCGGAAACAACCTCTTTGGGGCGTCCACTATGTGCATCGTTCTCGGTGCTCATTACACCTTGTTTAAACTCAGCAAACTACTTTTCAACGGTTATTTTCCTGGTGCAAAGTTCAGTAAAAGCAAAGTTTTATCCACACTCGAAATTTCTTTTCATCTATTTCTAGTAACGCCATCTGTGTGTTGGCCTACAAACTTTTCAGCCCAACTAATAGTTCATGTCCATTCCTATCATCCTCAAGATCTTTCAAAGTTGACAAAATGAATATAGTACAAACTTTATTAGAAACAAAACAATTCTCAATATACTCACCTCTATAACAACAGTGTTCTCTTCAATGTACTTGACACTGGACAAAGATAAAATGCCTGTAATAACTATGGTTGAAACTTTTTCTTCTTTATTCAACACTTGATTCTTGGCCAAGCTGCACATTTCTAGAAGAGTGCTCATTGCAGTCATTAGTATTTCTCTAGACGAATCTTGGCAGCATGCAACCACAATGAGCGATTCTACCCAGTCAGGTACACGATTATCTGCTTGATGGCCCAATAGATTTGAAAAGGCCGAAAATTCCAGGAGTATATTTGAGGCAACGGTCATAGATTTCTCGTAATGGTTTGTTACACTTTCTGAAGCTATATTGGACACTGACAAAATTTTATTGTTGAATAAGATATTAGCATAACCAACTGGTGAAAACTCACTTGCGTCATCTCGTAATCGGGAATCTAGCAAATTCTTCAGCTCATTGATTCTTTCACTTCTATCATAAATTAAAGATGTAAAGAAGGCTTTTATGTCAGTACTAGGCAACAGTTTAATTTTAATGAAGCTCACATAAAACTTTTTGTATTCTTCTAAGCACTTGATGAAGTATTTATTTTCAACTTTGGTTGTTTTGTTGATTTCGGGAATAGCCTGTTCGCGTTTGTCAGGTGAAGCATTTTCTGAACTAATCGATTCGATATTCTCATTTTTCAAGTCATTCAATTTTGGAGTAGACTTTGATTTTTTATTTTTCCCCTTCTTTTCTATTCTAGGGCTTGATTTTTCCTTTTTCTTCAACATTTGGTTGCTGTAAGATCTTTCCCTACTACTCTCATCTATCGTCAACTCATTTTTCTCTAAATTGTTCAAGTTTTCGTTTATTCTAGAATCTGATTTACTTTTTTCTAGTGTTCTTTCCTCTTCATTTTCTGCTTTATCTTCCGGTACATGAGAACTTTCTTGGGATTTCTCAATTGATTCGTTGAAGGAATCCGTTTCTACTTCATTATTAGTGTTCTGAATGTGTGTCAATGTGATAGGTTGAATTTTAGTTAAAATCCTTGTGCACAATCGCAAACTTTCAGTTATTTCATGATGATTCAGGTCTGGTAGATTGGTTTTCATTGTGACTATTATATTGGAAAACAAATTGGGCAATATATTGGACGTACTTTCGGCATAAGATTCAATTGGTATAATGTCTAGTAAAAAGTCTGTCAAAATACAAATTTCCAAAATATGAGGTGGTCCACTCCCAATATCATTTACTTGACACCTATCTCGATATTTATAATCCTTGATAGTTTTAACTGATTCTATGTATAATTTTTCTATATAGGACCAGATGTAATAACTTTGTAGTGTATTGAACAGAAGGTTCGCATTTTTGATCAGTTCTTGGCAGTTTTTAGTAACGAACTGTTTATTTAGTGAATTATCATCATTTTTCAAACTGGTCAGATCACCGTTGAATGAGACGCACCTCACGACGCTATTTCTATGTTTTTGTTGATGTAGACAAGAGATATAAAGAGTTCTGAAAACATCATAAAGAATACCATCCAAAATGACGGGCCCTATTTGGGGTTTATCAAAAAGTGAAGTAAGCAGTCTGTAAGGCTTTATATCTAAGGGGGTTTTGGTGCTGCACCTTTTCAAAATTATTTTCAGTGCATCATTCAACAAATCGTAAGCTATTGAATGGTCTTGATGAGTTGGAGTTTCATTGTGTTCTCCTTCTATCTGAAATACCGGCAGATTGTTGACTTCAGTTTCCAAGAGCCAAGAGTACAAGCGCCTGCAAGTGAAAATAAAAATTTTCATTTGAATGTGTTATTGACATACCTTCACGAAATGTTCATCAATGGAATATTTATATACAATATGTTCATTGAATTATTTATGATCATTACAATAATAATTATATGAAAATTTCAAATCATGAAAACTAGACGTAACAGTTACTGGAAAATCGAGATTTCTGAGCTTTTTTTATCTGGACAATGAAAACTTTTTAAAATTACTGGATTGATATAATAAGTCAGTATGGATATCTTCCACGCTATTAAGATGGATGTCGCCTCTGTCTGGAAAATGATGAAACTGCAGAGCATATACTTTGTGCCTGCCCCGCTGGGGACCGAATCAGGTTCTTTGAGTTCGGCAGATCCGTACTCTCACCATCTGACCTGAAAGACCACTCACCATACAAACTAATCGGCTTCGTTAAGAAGTTGGGTTTATTTGGCCGAGTGTGAATAGGTGTGAGCCACAATAAATCCTTATGGGTTGCGGTGGAGGGTTGAATAGACCCACTCACTTTAGACCTAACTACCTACCAATTGAATCAGTGCACGTTTGCCAACATAACACAAGTCGAATAATTTCGTTAGCATAAAAAGTATGTACTTGGGATTTGATGAAGTGGACGAAGACCGTTTTTGTCTGGCCCTCATTGGCGAAAGTTCTACTGGTAAGAAAGTTATCAAAGTACTTGAAAAGATGGTAGTCGGATGGTGAGAGGTCTGGGGGGTATAGAGGGTGACGCAAAACTTCGACGCTCAATTCGTTTAATTTTCAGATGGTGATTTGTGAAACGTGCGGCGAGCGTTGTCATGGAGCAGGATCAGACCTCTTCTGTTGAAGAGTGCAGGGTGACCAATGCAGGGTGGCCAGTGCAAGGTGCTGCTGATGCAATTATCGGTACATTTCGAAGATTTCCCCACAATAGGACTCTGCTGTGATGGTTTGGCCTGGTTGCGGAATGTTATAGTGAATCACACCAGCCGCTGATCACCATATAGTAACCATGATCTTTTTTGTTGGCTCATCGGGATCCAACCTATGTTCCAAAAGTCTCCTGATGTCGTATATCACTTTTAATCATACCTGACGATCCTATTCAAAAAAGGATGGTTTTGGTTGCGCAAAAGCAAAGAGCAGACCTCGAAACGTGACAATTTCTGTCGATCGTTCAAATCGTGGGGCACTCACTTTTCGAGATTTTTGACCTTTCCAACACGTTTGAAACCATCAAAAATCTCATGGGAGGCTGAAATTTTCGTTCATTAACACTCTCATTGTCAAATGCCTGGTTAATTTTTCGGGCTGTTTCTGCAGCGCTTCCGTTCAATTTGAATTCGTAGAGAAAAATTGGCCGAAAATCACTTAACGACATCATATAAACAACTTAATAAATTAACATATAATGAAAAGAGCGGGCTTAGTATTGAACCTAGAGGTATACTCGACTTCACGTGCGCTTTGTCAGGGAATGTTATAATCTGTTTCAACTAGAGGCCTATTCATGATAACAATTACAAATTTTCACAATATAGAATTCATTTCTAATACACGTTTCACTACAACAGTAACTTCCTCAGTGGGACTGGCATTACACTACACTACAATGAAATATATACAAATTATCGACCTTAATTAATAGATATTACTAATTGGTGAACAGGTAGTTGTGAGAACAAGTAACCATCAGGTACAAATCGGGTAAAAATTATTGTTAGTAATGATTTGACTAATTCAAGGAAACTTTTTATGAAAATGAACTTGACAGTGGTGACACATTAACTTTTATTTGTTAGTTTGATAGGAAATTTGATTGTTTACGTTTATTAATAACCAGGGATCCCAGCAGGTTTAACTTGTGTCCTTTATTTTCTTCACGTAGTAAGTCACAGTTTATGTCGAATTCGTGGTTGTTTTCTGACAGAGGACATGCATAGGTTGAAATGGTTTTCCTAAATTTAAAGTTTATTTTGTGTTCTGAATTGAAGAAAACCAATTCAACCTATACATTGAATGAAATTGGTTGATCAATGATTTCATGAATAATTTATGATTTAATAATACTGGTAATGATAGCAAATACATCTTATTGTTCTAATGATACAGTTTATACAGTTGAATCCATCCATTAGAATGAAGTTTTTAAACAATGAAGCAAGTACTATAACTTGTTATATTCCTATTCAAATATGCCGAACAGAGAACTTCCATTAATCATTGAACGACAACCCTCAAAATTTTAAAATTAGCGAACTAAGGACTAGAAAGGTCTTATCATTCTACATGCAATTTCTAGCATGGTTCCTGTAGAGAATATTTATGGTCCACGAGTTGAGATAGAACCAATGTTCACAATAGCACTCAAACGGTAGTCAGTTGGTTAGCAAAAGTGAAATGAAAAGCTTCAGAAGAGATCTTCACTAGAATTTATTAAATTAGCTTTTTTGGAGAAAGTTAGACCCTTCAATTTTTATAGTATTTGTTTTTCGAAATTGTTAACCGACAATTTTGAGTATATTTCTCAGTGTTTCGATATGATAGGGTGACATTTTCACGGCAGCTAAGACTGGTATTTTCTCCTCATATCGCTTCTACATATTTGTTTGTGATACGAAGAATGCTTTAAAAAAACAAAGCATTTTGAGTTTAAGTAATCCATGAATGATCAGCAACTGGCTATGATACATCTGATTTGAATGAGACATTCTAAGCAACCATAACCTTTGAAAAGCACATGAAAATACCTCCCGAACACTAATTAGATTTCAACTTCTGACTTCAAAATTATTCAAACAATATAAAATGTATACTATAGTCTAGTTAGAAGCAATTGTTACTAGAGTTCAATACAAATAACGAACAAATTACTTTTATATACTAAATAACGGACACTCCATTTTTACTTGCTCAACCCAAACAATGTCACGAAACATAATTTGCATCCTAAAATATTTATCACCTTTCACAACTCAAAAACTCCACTACAACATTACTGGTGTTGTCTGATACTCCGATTGAATAACAAATAAAGGCTTATCTATTTTACGTAATAATGTCTAGGTCTAACTAATTTATCAGTGCAATTAATTAGCATGAACGACAGGAAAGTTCACCAAAATGGTGTATTCAATAAAAACTTTCACAATTTGCCAGACTGTTAATTTGCTATTTTCTTGTGATCAGTCTTATGTTATCTGCCAAGTAATTAATTTAACCAAAATATCCACATTAATAACATCGATTCCGAAAAGAACAAAACAAATCAGTGAGAAGAATAGGATACAGTAGAACCGAGTCTAAGACAGGAGATAACTGTGTGAGAAACGCCAAACATATAAGCCTGCAGACAACAAACACACAAGAAAAATAGTTTATGTTTGTTTCGTTGGAATTTTTCTAGTACTCTTTGCCAACAACCAGGAATATCACATGCCTTTGAAAAGACGCTGTTTTATAAAGTCTTTGACGCATTTCAGTGACAGTTCTGAAACTTGGTTTCAGTTTGCAGGTCTATGTATACACCATTTTAGCATTTGTACATTACGTCATGATAACCTAATTCAATAATAACTCATGGCTGATTCATACACCAAACTTTTACTTCAAAAATAGGGATTACAAATTGATAAATTGGACCATTCATACACCACTGTATTTCTCTCATGATATTAACTTGAAACAGATCATTAATAACATCTAAAATATACATATTACATATTACGAAAAGAATAGTAATTGGTGACTATTCTACAGTTGATATTACTCTACCTTTAGAGGTACAATACCAATTTTCTTTCATTTCACAAATATTCTGTCTAAGCATCTCATACGCAAACATGCATTTCAGACTGAATTAACATAGAGACGTATAAATTAACATACAGAGAAAACAAAACAGATCACATATCTTCATAACAATTTTTTCCAAAAAAAAAAATGCAAAAACACGTCAATTTGTCGTCGATTACAAATTTCGCCCGCCATCTTGCTTTTTGCATCGACAAAAAATCATCAAATCAATTTCCGACCCTGAAAATCCCCACTTAGTAATTTTGAATCGAATCAGACCATAATTACAAATTTCGTCGGACATCTTGGAGCCACCATATTGTTTTTTGCATTGACAAACAAATAATAACTTCCGACCCTAAAAACCACCACTTATCAATTCTGAATCAAATCGGAGCATAATTGCAAATCTGGTCTGTCATTGTAGAGCCACCATTTTGTTTTTTCCCTTAGAAAAATTCCATAATGTACTGTCACCGAATTAGCTTGCAAATGAAGTATCATAATTTAGAATAGGGAACAGTTTTTTCCCGCAAGAGGGCGCCGAAATAGAAAGAAAAGTAGCGAAAATTGACATGGTCGAATCCCTTTTTAATGATGTGTCACACTTACTACTTTCCCTATTCAAGATGTTTGGGTGATAGTGACCGAGGAGTGGGGTGGGGGAGGTATGCCAGTTGAGGTTATGAAAGAAAGATGTCCTCCTTGGATAATCGACGTGTTTTCGCATTTTATTCAGAAAACATGTGTTTTGAAGATGTTCGATCTGTTTCGTTTTCGGTGCCCTATCCTGTATTCATAATGCGTATTTTTTTTTTAATGACTGCTTCTTTTCTTTCTTCAGAAGATTCCCAGAAGAAGATTGTATCAAGATGGAGAAGTAATAGAAACATGTGCATTCGTTTTCTGATGGCATTTCAGGTTAGCTTCCCAAATTTCTGCTACCGCAGTTGTCGATTGATTAGTCAAAACACCAACACTGACATAAAAACTTGGCAAGTTGACTTGGGTGTCACACCAATAGGTGCGCTCGCAGATAATTAAACAGAAGTTATAGAGCTTCAAATCCTTTTTGTAACTTACATTAATAGTAAAATACAGAGTTGATCACGATGTAGGTTCTATTAAAAAAGTTGAATGAGCTTGGACTCTCTGATACCACACTCAAAATGTTCGGAAGTTATCTTGAAAATAGATTTTTAGTGGTTAAGCATAATGAAAATACTTCGGGGAAATATCAAGTTTATTCTGCAGTACCACAAGGTTCCAATTCAGGACCCTTACTCTTTGTCATGTTTATCAATTATTTGCTCTCAGTTATCAAGTACTCAAGCTGTTTGTTATTTGCAGAGACAGTGTTATGTTGCAGAAAGACTTGCAATATGTTTGCGAATGGAGTTGAAAAAATAAACTGTTTTTCAATCTGAAAAAATGCAGTGTTATGAGAATAACAAGGTTAAGAGATTCGATAACATTTGATTACATGATGCAAGGAGAGGGGTTAAAGAGCGTTATGGAAATGAATGACATGTGTATTACATATTATTATAGACTATCCTTTACAAACCATGTAAAAAATATAATTAAATCAGCAAACCGTATGTTAGGCTTCATGGTAAGACAAACATCATATTTTTCCAATATAGACGGTATAAAGATTTTGTACTACTTGAATTCGGATCAGAAATTTGGTTAGAAGAATATCAAACTACACTTTTCGAAGTAGAAAAACTTCAAAACTAATTTTTGAGGTTTTTGTACTACAAAAAATATCGTATCTCTCCTGACTACAGAATAGTTAGAACAACACAATTGAGAAATTAATTCTAAATATTGTCTCTGGACGATAAAAGAAACCAAAATACATTAATATTTGTATTCAAAATACTGAATCATGGAGTCAACTCTCCTGAACTCCTTACACGGATAAGATTTAATGTGCCTGCAAGAAGAATGAGATATTCTCCTATATTCAATATACCCCAGTTTGTACTACTGTTAGGTCACCTCTCACAATCATGTTGCGACTAACCATTCAACTTATTGATGGATATAGATTGGACAGATTAATTGAGCGCTTTCACAAAATTTGTTACACAGTACAGAAACTTCAAGTGAACATATATTAGGTATTAGAATGTAAGCCATATAAATGTATCAATTTAAATTTAGATTTCAATTTTTTTATTCATGTAATAATAAATAAATATATAAGTAAAGGTTATTACGGAAATATGAATTTAGGGAATCAACATACCTGTTGAGAGACATATCCCTTCTCAATATTGTTGTGAGAGCCGCTGTCACCAATCTCACCATGTCGGCATATAACAGTTGTTTATTTTGCATGGGAAAACACACCATCAACAGGTCAAGTGCAGACCTTTGAACGAGAACACTGTAATCTTGAACTGCAGCACAAAGACCAGACACCTAAAAATGTATAAAATTTTTATTTCCATTACAAAAAACAAAAGTAATTACCTACCATGAGCCCTATATCGCTTCCCATCAAGTACAGCTGATCTTCCATCGATAATTTTCTACTGTAGTGAGCTAATATATAACTAATCGCAGGTAATCTTACAGGACTATTGTTTGCGACACACTGCCATATACATGTATAAAAATATGGTGGTTCCACCCCATCACAAACATTTTCGAGTAACAAATTGGTTCTGGTAAAGCAGAGAATGTGAAAAATGGTTCTAGTTTATGGATTTAGTATTACTTGCCTGTCAAAATGGTCAGTTCCCGTATCTAATCCCGGCAAAATACCGCTCAGAAATCCACTTAAAGCTGGACGAAGCCTATCTCCCAGCGGAACAAAATGGGTTTCATATATAGTCAATAGAGTAGGTCTTATATTCATGGCAGCATGTCCCATAAGTGGAAATATACCTTAAACAACAAATGAGAATAAGATTTGTAATATTCAACGAAAGTCATTTTTTGTGGAAGAAAAAATCTGTTTTTTATCGACCTTTTTTGGGTAATTGTTACCTTCCACAATCTTTTACGTTTCGGAGGCCAAAATCTGCCTCCGTCTTCAGACATCTGTCGAAGAAGTAAAGAAATAGGCTATCAAAAATGGAATAACTGCGTATATATTCGAATTTTTTATCCATTTCTGAAGACGGAGGCAGATTTTGGCCTCCGAAACGTAAAAGATTATGGAAGGTAACAATTACCCAAAAAAGGTCGATAAAAAAAGATTTGTAATTAATTAACTTTCACTGTTGGTAACATGTTCTGTCTGTATTCAGTATCTTTGAGATCATAAAATACATTTTCCCACCCACATACATTTTTTCGCAACAGAAAAAGGCAATAAGATTATCAGAAAATTAGGGTTTCAGGGAAAACTTTCAGTAATCGTAAATTTAGAATTATGTCTTTACCATCACTATTATTCTTCTTTTCTGGAACATCCGTAAACATTCAGAATCGCTAGTTCCGCAATCTGAAGTTCACCAATACATACCAGACAAGCGGATCACATAAAAACTCCTCGGTTGCCGACTTTCAGTTTCTCAAATGAATTCACCCTTAGAATCCATAAGCTGTTAGAATCAGATCGCACAAATCATTTTATTTCAAAAAATCTGATTTTTTTATTCCTCGCTCCTTTTTTCCTTCAGATTCGTTACAATATATTTATTTTAACCTGTAGTTCATTCTGTGTAACAGGTGATTTACTTTTTTATTACTGTCATGACTGAATTGTATATAAAATAGTAAGATTTCAGCAGGGCATTCGACTACGATGATCACGATATTTAAATGAAGTTTTCTAGATGTTTTTTTGGATATACTTCTTTGATTTAGTTGTTACACATCATATTTGAAAAATAGGACCCAATATGTCAACATAATCAAGATGGATATTCTATTGAAAAATTCAATTCTGATGAAAAATAAATCAGCATATGTTCCCAGGATTCAATCAAAGAGCTTATACTATTTTTATGTCATAGGGTGATAGAGCACCCTTTACTCTGTTATTCCATAGTCATTTCTAATAAAGAAGAAACAATTGTTAACGAACATGAATCACATAAAGGAACAGTTTATTGGCAATAACTTTGAGCTGAACGTAGAAAAAACAACTTCATTCGTTTTCATAATAGACGAAGAAAATGTTATCTAGATTCATCATAATATTCAGATGAAACAAGCATGTCAAGAAAACAAAAAAATTGCTAGGACTTCTATGTGCATGAACATTTAAATTTCAGTAAGCATTACTCGTTTGAATTCAGAGAAAATTGGCATATTGTGTTATTTTAAATGAGTGGGCTGTTCAAAAAATACGGGGAAACAATGAAGCGTGTGGCAGCGTTGTTCAATGACGATCCAAATTTGCTTAAAAAGATGACGAATCATGGGTATATGGTTATGACATCGAAATCAAAGTTCAATCGTCCCAATGAAAGAGTCCAGGAGAGCCACGACAAAAAAGCACGCCCAGTTCGATCAACTGTCAATGTTTTGTCCACTGTTTTCTTCGATTACCGTGGCGTAGTGTATCAGGAGTATTTGCCACATGGTCGTGCAATCAATAAGGGTATTATCTGGAAGTATGCGCCGCTTGCGAGTAGCAATACGAAAAAAACATCTGATATATTGTGGAAAAACTATTAATTTTACCTCACGATACTGCATGTTCGTAATTTTTTAGCCAAAAAACAACACATCGTAATCATGCCCCAGCCACCGTATTCACAAGATTTGGCCCCCTGCGACTTTATCGTGATTCCAAGATTGATGAGAACCATACAGGGTATAAAATATAAATTAATGAATGAATAAATATTTTTGAAAAAAACTAAAATAAAATAAAATTTTTGATATGCCTAAAAGTTTAAAAAAATTGAAACGACGCGTTAACTTCATTTTCAAGAGGTCAGTTTCAAGGAATATTTTAGCCCTCAACCCCCTAAAAGGTGTAGATGTTACCCTTATAATAAAAAATGGTAGTAAGGACCAACAGATTTTAACTGTCTTTTCAATCATACTCTAATTTGTTATTTGTTTCGCCAGAAGATTCTGAAAAATTACGTACCCAAATTACAGAGGTAATTAAGAGTGGAACTGTACAGAACGAACCCCTTCTTTTTTACTCCCATGGAGAAAGAATTTACATTATTTTTACTTATGGAGAGATTGGAAAGTGCGAACCAACAACGGCATTTGTTTTTAATGAAAGAAATTCAAATTGTTAAGTAAATCACAAGTCTGTGAATGTCTATGTTTTTCAAAACTGGTTTGGCGACAAATTTTGACGGAAGAATAGTTGTGTAAAACATGTTTCACTTAGTCATCTGCAACCTTCTGTTTCAGCAGTGAATGTTCATTTTTTCTTAATAACAATGTAAATATACAAAATTGTCTTTCATTTCTTGAATATCTTAACATGCATGAAGGAAGTACCGGTTCTCTAATAATGCTGAAGATAATCAAGTTATATAGGAGGTTCTCTCACATTATCAGCAGGACGGGTGTCCTGCTTTAGACTTTATTACTATTTATTTAGAATACAACAGTCAATATTTTGAACAGATGTTATTTTCTGTGGCCTGTCGTTTCGTCTGTAACTGCAGCTACGTAACTGCAAACTACGTATCGCAGCAAGGCAGATTAGTTCGACCGTTATCGAATCGTCTTTGACATTGTCTGTCGCAGTTGCCGACGACACTTCAAGCCCAAAAACATACATGCCACAATCAGTAAATCTGGAAACGGTTAGACACCGGCCGTTAGAGACTTCACACCAAGGTTATAAGATGATAGAAACTTGCTTAAAGTGGCATAAGATGGAGACATTTTTCAACATGGATTCTTATACTTAAATATCTTCCATTATAACCTTTGAAAAACCTGTAACATTTTGATTCCAAGGTTTTAAAACACCTCGTATATCTTAAAATTGAGTCACCAAATATTACATAGAATCTTCAAATCAACAATAGTACAGCAAGCATCAAACGTGACGGAGAGCCCGCCTCCATGCGCACAAACTCATTTTCAATGTAACCCCCACTACAACTCTTGCAAGACATACAAATGCTTTGTACAGAGGCGTATCACTACTTGTCCTCAAATGCTGTCGGCGTTTGGCATTGTCTTAATAATATGTGTTGTTTCTGAAAAAATATCATCGTCTAACAAAAAATCAGTCATCAAGAGTCAGGCAAAATGTTAAATATGAATCGGATACGTTATCAAATGTGAAAAATAAAACATCTCTCGCTACAGATAACATTAAATAAATTTAAAAAATAACTATTTCGACACAAATCTTTATTTTGTATTAAGTATTTCAAATCAAGAAAGAAGCGGCCTAGAAGAGCACCAGTAACTGATATTCCCGAGTATGAGTATTTCAATATCAGACGGATTATTTACGACTTTCATAAGACGAAAGGGTGTCATATTACGGTAAAAAAGTTCCAATACAAAATTAATGACGTTTAGGGAATTTTGGCTTCCGAAACATCTCTTCGTAGAATTTTAAAGAAAATATGTTTCAAATGGAGAAGGATTGAAAATATTAGAAAAATTTCAATAGAGAAAAAAGGCATTAGATCATTGAGGATCAAGTATTTACACAAAAACAATTACTTTAGTAGCCAACAGCGACCATTTGTGTTTCTTGAATACTGATGAAAATAGCAAATGTTATTGCACATTATAAAGAGGGCCACGAATAAGTGAAAATGAATGCAATAATACGAGTTTAATAAAATGAATCCATCAGTTATGATTTCATTGTCTGTTCAATTTTATCTAGTTGCGTATTTCTGTACAAATTAAAATAAGTGTTTCAAATTATCAAAAAATATGTTACTTTAACCATAACTCGACTAACATGATGATAACGAAATCAATTAGTGATAACAAGACTCATTTTAGTAAGTGTTCGAACTGCCTTCCTTCACGTAGAATACACGTATTAAATCTTTTTAGTAATTTCCGATTTGTGACATCTAAAAGCGTCTCTCGCGTTATGAAAGCACAAACATTTGTGATCCTATTTTTCAAATCCTCTACATTTTGTGGACGTCGCATATAAACTAAGTCTTTGATATATCCCCACAAAAAGAAATCGTGTGAAGTAATATCTGGACTTCGAGCTGGCCATGGTATTGGACCCTTATTTCCAATCCACTTCTCATTAAAAGTATAATAAAATATTGGAGATGTCCCACCTTGTTGAAACCACATATTCAGTCGAGTTTGTATTGGTAAATTTTCCAAGAGATTCGGCAACACATGTTGTAGAAAAATCAAGTACCTCTCCCAATTGAGAATTCCTTCAAAAAAAATGAGGTCCTATCAAATGACCATCAATGATTCCGCACTTAACATTAACCCCCCACACAGACTGAAATATCGTTTCTTGCACCCAATGAGGGTTCACGTCAGACCAATGGTGACAATTATGTTTGTTTATTATACCGTTTTTATGGAAACGGCTTTCATCACTCCATAATTTTTTTTTCAGAAACTGATCATCATCATGGACAACCATGCAATGAAGTTCAATCTTCTATCAGCATCTCCTGAATATGGTAATATATTTTAGTTATTAAAAATGAAACATGAAGATCATTACCTGGATGTAGTCCTGAATCAAATGTATTTTGTATGGATGGAATTTGTTTTTTGACAAAATACGTTGTATTGACGATTTCAAAATGTTACAATGCATTGCTTCTTGTCTGGTATATGGTTCCAAAACCATTTGACCTAGCCGTTTTTGTTTTTTTTTTCGCTTCCGTTTATTAAAACATCCATTTCGCGCCAAAGATTTGGCTAAGCCAGCGAATGTTTTGTCTGACGGTAATTTTCTGTCAGGAAACCGATTAGCGTATATTCTTACTGCTTCTTTTGAATTC